GCAGCACCAGCATTGACTTGGTGTCTCTAGTACAGAGGAAACCACATTCCTGGGTCAGACACATGGATGCACTCAAAATACCTGGGAAGGGATGGGCATCACGGAATGGGTTTCTCAGAAGTCCAGAACTCTTGAAGGTAGCTGGTAGCAGGCTGAGAGTGGAATGAACTCTTAATAGTAAAGTGCTTAGTGGAACAAAAACTGGAACCCCAATTTTCCTCTCATCCTGCCTTTCCTCACTCTTCCCTGTAGCTGCTGAATTTGAGTATCATGCTGGGTTTTTTTTCTGGCAGCTGATTAATGTTAGAATTTGCAATGGGCCTGGTTTCTGTCTTCTAATACAGGTCAGAGTAGAATGTGCTCAGTGACTCAGTTGTGACTGTCACACTCTAAAAGTTGATGCAAATCTTAGTCACCTGCTTTTAAGGCAATTTTGATGACTATAGTCTTGGACTAATAGGTACCTAAATACAATAATTCTGTATTCACTAGATAATTATTTTTTATTCTAATAAATGTATTTCCAATTTACTTGTTACATGACAGTTGGGTTCCTCAAAATACTGTGGGAAATCCTGTGTTAGGCATAGTAGTTTGCAAAGTCAGCTGCAATGAGAGAGATATTTTTTACTTATCCATTTTGGACTCTTCTGCTTTTAATTCTTCCTGGTATGTGTGAAAATTTTAGCCCGTTTTATCAAAAAAGCTGCAGTAAAAACACCCTATGCAAAACCTGAGACGAAACTGCCTGATGTAATCTTTCCTGAGCAGCCTATTACATCAAATAGATATGAAGAACATATTGTGATATCATCCAGTATTTCCCATTATGTACGACAGCATGTAATTACAAAGGTTGGTATTTGCAAGGAAACCCAAATTGCCCATGAGCATATATTTCACAGAGTCAGCAGACCCAATGGCACGTTGATTAGGGCTTTTGATAGATAAGTTCTGTTGATTCTACTGCAGAGGTAGTTAAGGATGATATAGCTCCAGTTGCCCATCCTAAATTTGGTGGTGATCAGTGCTCCCTCATATGAGGTTTGGCAGACCAACACAGTTACTTTTATCTCAGTTGTTTCACTGAGCGCGGACATTTTATATATCAGGTTTCCTGAGTTGTAAGGGAAAAAGTCTTAAAAATTTAAGTGTGTCCCCCTGCAGCCTAAACCAGGAGTCTGTGTCTCCACAGCTGTTCATGTTACTAGAAATTGTGGGTCAGGAGCTTTAAAGAGGTTAGTTATGTCTTTAAAATGGATCAAAGGCTGGGTGTCATTGTTGAGAGTGTTGGCTTTAGTACTTGCCTTAGGCAAAGAATGAGTCAACACCAGAACAATGGTGAGCACCTGAGTTTCTGGCTTCTCTTCATCTCACTACATCTCACCTGTTGGTCTTACCTGAAATGAGCATGCTCATTTTATAGCCACATAATGATTTTCTAAAACACTGTTTACACAGCTTACATAACTAGAGTGGTCTATAATAATATTAAATTACTTTTATTACTATAATTTTGTATATATGAAAATAGTTTGGTTGGAAAAATATCCATCTATTGGGGTCCAAATTTTTAGCATTATCAGAAGGCTATTATTTTTTAAAAAGGAATACTTCAAATATACATAATCTTTTAAAAATGGTTCTAAAAATGCTGAGTATATATTTATTATACTCACATACTTTATAAATATTTTGAGTTTTATTAGTTTTGTTTCATATGCATTGCCTATACTTCATACATGCTTATGGCCTTTAACTTACAATTTACTAGACTGCCCCATTCATAGTCTTCAAGAATTTCAGCAAGGTGGATTTTTTCCTGCACCTCTTTTTGGCTGTGGTGCTCTGTGTCTACTGAATTTATTACCTAGGCTGCTCATCCAGAATCTTTCAAAGTGGATTTTGAGGTTCAGTTATCTCCTGTTGATTTTCTAAATATACAGAGCTGACAGATACTGAATTGTTTGCCTCACTTTTACTTTTTTTTCCTGTTTTCTTTCCTCTGAAAGGTGCAATGGCTTCCTCACAACTGCGTCTCAGTCTGCTTTGAAAGGGAACCATCACCTTGCAAATATTCTTAGTCCTACCTATAGAGTTTATAAACTTTTTTTAAGAAACAGTGCTCCAATAAAATCTGTAGCGTAGCCTAGGCCACCCAAGGTTCTATTTCAAAGCAGGCATTAAAGGACCAGCAAAGATTCAGGGAAGAGTAACAAGCATGATCAAAGGTACAGAAAAGCTTTCGTAAAAGCTTTAGGCTGATGTCTGATTGCTCTTGGAGAGCTATTATATGGAAATGGTAATTAAGAATAAATTGTTTACATCTTTTCCAATACAAAAACTAAGGGGGTAATTGAATGAGATAAATGGATGACAGGTTCAGAGAGGAGATGGTTTACACAACATGTGTTATCTGTGCAACTACATGCCATACTTATTATGTTATAGGTAGTCTGTTACAGAAACACTGTTATCTATTTCTATCCAACCTGCTGCTCAAGTTAAGCCATTTCCACTTCAATTCATTGTATTAAAGCCCATGTGGTGATCTAGCTGTGTTTGTATGTTGACAGATACTTCAACATGCCTTGGCAAGGATAAAATAACAAGCATCAGTGTTCAGAGAATGCAATGTCTGGTGTCAGAGTCAATCTACTTTTGGAAAAAAGAGGTCAAAATCAATTGATCTTGTCCATGCAAGACAGAAGAAATTAAGTGACAGTAGGCTGATGATTGTCTGCCAGCTGAAAGAACTGAGGGCCTGCATAAGATATATTAACTCACTATTGTTATCCATACATAAAATGAGCTGTGCTACTAATGGATACAGACTCAACTGATGGCTCTAGTTTGGGACTTTCCAACAGCATTGTTGATCTGCCCTTGTAGCCTGGCCTGGCCTGAGACTTCTGGACAAGTCTGTTAACTTGGCAATTTGATTTACAAAAGTTATCCAGTTGGTACTCAGAAATACTCAGTCTTGGCATCTACATCAAGAGTAGGTGACTTGAAAACCTAGTATTTGTTAGTTGATATTATCATTTCCTGGGAATAAATCCTGTTGAAATTAACAAACCTAGGCCCAGCATTTATACAATGCTCTGTAATTAAAACCATCCAAAGTACTGGAACTTTGGCATCTTTAAAAGCAATAGTGAGTAAATAAGTCCTTCACTCATCAGCTCTGTAAGTCCCTGCAAGCCAACAGCTTGTGTAGAAGTATAGAAATTACCTTACCAGTTCCAGCAAATCAGTCTGGGTCTGGATTTTTTTGTGTTTGTGTGCTTGTTGTAAAGTCATAACCTAGGCAAAGCTAATCAGACTTGTTGTGGATCTGACAGTAGTGCTGATGCTGAATCTCATGTGCTCAATATGGCAGCAACAATAGCTCCTGCTGTCCCATCTGGGAATGAGCAGATGTTAGTCATTTTTTAAATGAAAGTAACAGGTATTTGCGGAGCATAATCCATTTAGGCTCCTTCTGCTGAAGATGCGATTAAGAAAAAACAGTTTCAGGGAACTGTTGTAATTCTTGAACCTTTGACATATAAAACAATAGATGGATAAGTGAATATATTTTTATCTCCAGCTATTTCCTCATCCCTAACAAAAGAAAGAGTATCTCTGCACATCTTGTATGCCTCTTCTATTTTTTTTTTGTTATAAGAGTGCTTTCATTTTCCTAGCAGTTGCATAAGGGTGAATAAAGGGTGTCAGCAATGCTTAATATTGAATACATAACATTATGTGTATTTGTTGCTGTAGTAAATCCAAGCAAAAGCAATGTTTCACTGTCAAGTACCAGATCATGTAGTCAGGGAAACTGGCACTGACACTGTAATTACAGTTTGTCCCTCTCCCCCCTCCTCCTAAAAAGAGGTTTGTTGCTGGTGGACATAAGTACTTTTGACAGAACTACTTGCATGACCAGCTAAAGCCCTTGTACAGAAATTCGCCTTGTAGCAGTTATACTTTTGATTTGACTGCACATTTCTTGAATGTTATGTCCTTTTCTTTGGCATATCTAAGCTAATTTTAGACAGTCTTTGACTGGCAAGTTTCATGTTCCAGGAGGTGAATTATGTTACTAATGTAGCACTGGAGTTTGCTCAAACTTTTTATATATTATCCAGAGACCGTGGAGTGTCACAGGCTGAACTGGCCAGATCGTCTCAAGAGCCTGACTTTGCTGTCAGATGCTGGATCACCATCATTACTTCTTTTACCTGGATTTTTATATTCACACCATTTAAGTATTCCGTCTTATCAGTTTCTGGCTGAATTGAGCTATTTTCAACCAGATTTGATGGAGGGAAAGAAGACAGAGGTCAAGAACTCAGAGTGCTCAATGTTCATCAAACTATGTGTGAATTAGATCCATATAAGACAACAAAGTCTAGAAGAGACTGGCTGAATAAAGCCCCAGCCTCAGCAATACTCTTTTCACTAATGTCTGTCAACCTGAAATACGAATATAACATGGATTGTAAAATACTATTCCTGCAAATAAATTTTGGAAGGAATCTTGACTCCAAATTAGGCAAACTACTCCATTACTGAAACATAAAAACCACTGGCATTATTACACTAAGATCTGATTCCGTGTCGATGATTCTCTTTAGGAGTTTGTCAATAAATTCAGCAAAGACATGATCAGAGTAGGAATGTCAATATTAGTTATGTGAGACTTGGACATCCTAAACAGGTGTTCCCACCTGTTATTGATAATACCTCCACATGCTACAAATCTCTTAGCATTTACAGTACAACTTAGGTTTGGCACACAACTCTAATCTGAGGAAGTATGTTTGCATAATAATGGCCTTTAAAAATTAAAGCTGTATTTAATTCTTTGGGTTTTAGTGTTCCTTGAAGAGCAGAACATCATGTGGAAAGGGGGTTATTACAGGTATCTGTGTAGGAATGTCAACCAATTCTAATCAGTACAGTATGATAACATCATTTATATTAATTTTTGTGACTTGGTCTCATTTCAGATGAAGTGGCTATCTGTCCTGCCCCAGCAGTGTCTTTTGCTGATGACATGTCTCGTAATGGCCTTGGAAGCTGTACCTATAGACATAGATAAGACAAAAGTCAAAGGAGAAGGCCATGTAGAAGGAGAGAAGGTAGAAAATCCAGTAAGTGTAAAGAAATTTATCTGCCAAGAGTTTTTCCTAATTGCCAGTAATCTGGGGGTAGGAAACTCCCTTTCTGGAATTTACATGTTCTTTACTGGAGTTACTTCCAGGAAGGAAACTAATGTTAGCCAGGATTGTCACAGGGTCTGCCATCTACAGCGGGGAGGTTCTGCTTAAATTTGTTTTTCCCTTTTTTTTCAATGAGCTGCTAAAGGTGAGGTGGCAGGTGGAAGGGATTCCCCAGTTTACAGTAGGAAGAACTTACTGTTCCACAGAGACTTATTTCAAAGGACTGGGTGGTGGCCTAGGAAATTCTGCTCGCTGATTCCAATTCCGTGTTTCAAACAGAACAGTAATGAATGAATTGCACTGATTTAAAAAAGCTACACTATATTAACAAGACAGATGTTTGTGTGGTGGGTTCCTAAACAATTTTCTCCTCTTGTCAGTTGCTGAAACAAATGAATCATAAGTTGCTATAGGGCAGTGATGCAAATAGGAAAAAACAAAGAGATGTAAAACAGCATAATGCCTGTGTTGCTGAGATTAGTGTGTCAGTTCAATAATTGTATTAAAACAGGGCTAAATGTTTGGCAGTATATTCTTTTTTCAATTTCACTTTTTGGGTTTTTTTGAAGGATACAGGACTTTATTATGATGAATATCTCAGGCAAGTGATAGATGTCTTGGAAACTGATAAACATTTCAGGGAGAAACTCCAGACTGCTGACATAGAGGAAATAAAGGTAGGTTCAAAAAAAATAGTTAAATCAAGGTTAAGTAAATCCATCATCTTGAGCCATGTATGTTGTATTCTTTCTTCCTTTTTTTTCCATACTCCTCTCAATTTTTGTGAGCTTAAATGTAATTTTTATTTAATTAAGTATTTTACTAGATCTTTGTCTGTAGTCAAGGGACAGCAGAACTTCTGTTCGTTAAAGAATATTCCATAGCATAAGAAACCCTAGCAACAATATACACTGGAATGCATAGTTTCTACCTGCTGCCTATATCCTAAAAAGCTAGTTTCAGACTTTATGCAGATAGGTGAACCTTCATGTACATCAAAACTGCTGCAGTTGTAGCTTTCATGTGTAGTTGCTTGCTGAGTAATTTGGAACGCTGTTTTGAACACAGAGGTATATTTGCTTTCTGAGACTAAGATAGTAATTCACAAATGTATATGATGACGTGGAAAAGAATTACAAGACAGATTTTAACATCTGGGGATACTGAGGAGTTGTGCTAGAAGTAAAGTCAGTGTATATAGGAATAAACCAGACCTCTGGATTTCTCTGCTGCTGTCCTATCTTTTGTGCCAATCCACATACCACTCTGTCCAAAACCTCACCTCGCTGTTGTCTTTTACTCTTTGGTTCCTGGCTCTAGGTGGTGGCTGTTCTGCATTCCTCCTTTATAAGCTAGAAATTCTGCAAGGGATGAGTAGGAAACAGTCTAAAGTGACAGACTTAAAGAGGACATCCTGCCTTTTGTGTTTCCTTTAATCCCTCGTGTTGGCATTGGCAGCTTTCAGCTTCTTTTGTGCTCCATCTAGTGTAACCCTTGAATATTGCTGTTCATGTCAAGGTTCTTGAATACACATTGGTGGCTGTTGCCGTGCTTGTACTTTGCCTGAAGTCTTACAGCCCTCATCGAGGGGATGAAGAACACAGCACTTTGTGTGTTTCTCACAATTCTTGTGAACTAAGTTGAGAACATTTGATCAAGAAACTTGTCACAAACATTATTAGGCATTGCTCCTTCAAGGTTATGGTTTTGCTCTTTGGAGGAGCAAGATAGAAATTCTCTTTTCAGAAAGCTTATAGGATTCCTTTCTGTTTCTGTAACCATAGGCATAAAAATTTTAAATCTGCTCTTTGGAAAAATACTGAGATTCTTACAGTGAGTGCTACAGTATTGCTACAGTCTTGCAGCTCATGTCTAAGCCTAAAAACTACTTTCTTCCAGTTTTTATACATAACTTTTGTTTTTCAACAGAGCGGAAAGCTAAGCAGAGAGCTTGATTTAGTAAGCCACCATGTGAGAACACGGCTGGATGAACTAAAAAGACAAGAGGTGGCAAGATTAAGAATGTTAATTAAAGCTAAAATGGATTCTGTTCAAGGTAAGAATACAAAATTTACCGAGGTGAGCTGTGGGACAATTGTGTTGGAGAAATGCCAAAGTCCATTAGTTGTGCTTTGTTTGTTGTCAACAATAATAACTAAGCTGAAAGTGAGTGTCCTTTCTGAGCTGGCCTAGGGCCAGTAAAGACCTGTCTTTATAGGAAACTGGGGATAAGAGAAGAGCCATCTGTGATTTTTCACTGACAGAAACAAGTTCAGTTATTTATAAATAAATACATTAGATACTTATAAATAAATTTGTTAGATGCTTCTAATTGTTTTTCAACTTCTTTTCTATTTTGTAATTCACAATTAGTCACTGAGAGCAGTAACATAGTAGGACTATGTTTAAGAACACATGACACAGCGTTTCATGACTTTGCAGGGTAGAAAATTTATTGTTGGACAGTCAGTTAACATGAAAGTTTTCCTCTTTGACATCTTTTAGCCCCCTTTCCACTAGTTGGAGTTATTGTACAGATTTAAAGCAAACATTAAATATTTATATTTAGAGGATTGTTTTTCTTATTTTGGAGTCAGTTTTAAGCTCCTGAATAAGGAAAAATGTTTGGAGTGAAAAAATTCTCCATAGCATTTGCTCATTTGCTTAATTTCTAGTGAAATTTTACAAACTCAGGCAGTTTCTTTTAGTGAATAAAGTATACAAGTTTCTAATTATTCTAGTTGCTGCATGTTTGTCTGGGAATAGGTGCTATCCCTTTTTATTTCTTTTTACTGAAGAACTTTTAAAGTATGCATTTAGAACTAATTCTGTAAATTTCTTATTAGTGGTTTCTTTTTAAAGAGATTTAGTTGCTCATAAACAAAGATCCTAATGATGGACTCCATGATCTTGTTTCTGAAATGGTGTTTTCACAAAGAAACTCTTATAAAAAAAGTCTCAATTTGCCTACGCAGATTATTTTATTATTAAAAATCTTTGCAAGTCACGGGGAAGGATCCCATGGAATTGAATCCATAACGTATCAAATTAAAATACTCCAAGCATGAAGATCCGTCTTCCAGGCTAAGCCAAATTCAGAGGTGGGAGATAGACTGAAGAAGTGTGCAAGTGCAAATAAGTGTTTATGGGGATGTTGCTCCTGTTGCATCCTGGTGACATTCACAGTGAGCCAGCTGACAGCACTTAATGGTTGTGTGCATAGTAATTTTGTGTATTTTGAAGTTTGATGGACTGATTACTTCTAGCCCCCTCTACTGTCATAAATCAATAGTAACTAACAGAATGTGCTTTAGAAAAATAATTCCCCCCAGCAGCTCAGATCTGTTACCAAATAAGTGTGGGATCTTAAATTTGGGAACAGATTATTGCAGTTCAGAATATTCAGGTGACTACTAAGATGTGAAAACATTTTGTAAAGTTTATAGTCAGCTTTGCCCATGAGTACTTTGCATCATATACAAGAAGTATGGCCAGATTACCTACAAAGTACAGCTGCATCCACATGCCTAGACAACATCTTAGAATAGGTACAAAGAGCATTCTGTAATAACAGCAGGCAGAACAGTTTGATTTCCTTTTATTTGTTCTGGTAATCTTTGCCCTAGAATACCACTTAATAGCTTAGTCTTCTGTCTGATCTAAAAAAAAGAAAAAAAAAAAAAGCATACAAATTCCCATGTTTTCTTCCCTCTCAGATGGATCAGGTTTATAAAAAGAAATCCCAAACAAATCTGAGATTATATTCTGCATATATTCAGTTCTTCATCCAGATGTGTTTTTAAATATTTTCACCAAGATCCTACTAGACTAATCAGTACAGGACAGAAGAATGCTAGGGGTTGGATCTCAGATAATACAGTAATGTGGCAAGTAAATATTGTCAAATCAAATGAACCTTTTCCCCTAAGTATAAGAAATGGAGGGAAATCGGTTTGGGGGCTGGTTTTTTTGTTGTTTGTTTGTTTTTCTTAAGTCTATTATTACACTTGTAAAAATGTTTCAAAACCAGGCAAAGGCACATATATTTCAACAGAAATCATGATCTCACCAAGGAGGAATGATGGCTGAAATCTGCCCTGGCCAGTGTTTGCTGTTTTGTGATAATACAAACACAGCATTCCATGTAAAACAGACAGTTTTGAAATTGTGGGTTTTTTTTTTTTTTTTTTTTT